ATTTGACAACACGAGAAATGAGAAGGCGTGAAATACAGCAAACTTGCGTTAGCGGTGACGCATTCTTGGCAGTTGAGTTTTAGAATTAGCTGTTGCCTACACCTTTGTGCAAAGCTCGTTAATAGTTGCTAATTTTAAATAATTTTTCCTTGTACAATATAATTTATTAGAAACAATATGCTTTGCGATATTAATTTAGAATCCTCGAGACACGTTTTAAAACATTGTTTGAACACTTAGCGTAAAATACTAATTGTAATAAAAAAATGTAAATTGAAAAAAATTATCAAGTTATTTAATTTGATTCTTACTGAGCCCATCTGGAACTCGAACCCAGGACCTTCAAAATTACTAGACCAAAGAGAAATAGAGTGACACTAAAAGGACTAAGAAGCGAATATAAACAAAATAACTTGCTAATTTGGCATTTATATCACTAGATGCACATACAAGTGAACTAAACGCAGGTAAAACTATGTAGGTAAGCGTGTACAGAATGTCGTAATAATGCGGTCGGGTGTCGTCCTGATGCGTGAATTCGTTGTCCCGACGACATATAATTAATCTACTCAAGCGACGAGTCTATTAGAGGGGAAACAATATTGACGTTATGAGCGTCAATTCGATACTTGCACGTATGATTGATGGCGATATGTATAGATTGTGAGGCATACGAGTATGGTTAAGCTACCTTTGGTATACGTACGTCATTTATTTTAGACTAGCATTGCCTGCGGCTCCGCCCGCGTTCAGATGACCAAAAACCAAATTCTTAGGTTTTACATATTAGTATATTACTCTTACAATGCAGTTTTTGTATTTTTTCTCAGAAATGAGATATTTTCCCGCGGTAAAAAGTATCCTATATGTTGACCCGGATAGCCAGCTATCATCATTCCAAATTTCATTAAAATCTGTCTAGTGGTTTTCTCGTAATGCGGTAACAGACAGACAGACAGATAGACAAAAATTGTAAAAACTATAGATTCGGCCTCTGTATCGATAATAATGTCTATTTCAATAAGATTTTCCAAAAAATATTTAATGTACAGATTCGGCTTAGATAAAATTTTATTATATGTATGCTTAAAAAAACTAATAAATTTTATTTTTTTGTTTGTTTGTGTCTGTCTTTCTTTCATTACTGTAAGGGTTACTAATTTATATACCGAATTTATACTCTGTAATTATAATTTTTTTTATGAATGTCAGGTTACACTTGTCAATATTTTAAAAAGTAGGTCACTACACACACATACACAAGTAGGTCAGTACTTTTCGTTATGAACTTTATTAGAATATTTCGTTTAGTTTTACTCCACATTTGGTGGAAAGCAGGATAATATATACATTAATTACGAGAATACCTACGTTTTATTGGCCATCCCGTCATTACAGTAATATAGGAGGGAATAGATACATAATTATTCTGCTTTAGAAGCTTTAATTTGATTCCTATAGATACAAACTAGTGCAAAAAACATGACAAAATTATGATACAATTAAAAATTATTACAAATAAAAAATAATTATAATATTTTTTTAATATTTTGTAATATCACTATATAATTTGAGAAAAAATTTTTTATACGTTAGCATATAAAAAATATTAAAATTATGTATTTTATGAGCGCTTTTGTTTCGCTCGGAATTGTCCGTAGGTACGTTTTAACGATTAGTATGGAATAGATAGATTATATATTATATTATATATAGCTTTCTCAATATCTTTCTCAATTTCTTAGCCTTTCTCAATAAACGGGCTATCTAATGCAAAAAGCTTTTTCAAATCGGATTAGTAGTTCCTGAGATTAGTTCGTTAAACAAACGAACGAATGAACAAGCAAACAAACAAACAAATTCTGCTCTTTATAATATTTACTTTATAATAACAACGTATTTTTTATAGTATTTTAATAAAACAAAGTCGAGGGTGATAACAAGCAACGTGCAAAAAATCAACAAATATATATAACTCTTATAATAAGCTCAAAAACTACATCCACTAACAAGTTTATGTACTTTCAAAGAGTGTGTAGGAAGTGAAAAATGGAAATAAAGTCCTCATTTCTTCCCAGACTATTACAAATATAGCATAAAAATAAACTTTCTCTTAAGTTTAACATTTAAAGACGCAAGTTTTTTTTTCCAATAAATTGTTACCTTTAACCTTTTGCCCAAAACCAACGAACGACTATTAAATTTAAAAAATAAGCATGTATATTAGATAAGTTGACTAAAGTTATGTAAATTCAATGATTTCTATTATTATTTGTTAAATTTTATTAGATTGTAATAAGAAAAGTATGCATTTGGGGATAAGTTTGTAACTAAATTAAGCTTAAATTCCTAAACAAATTTTAATTAAGCTTGGTCGACACATAGTATGGACTACCAATTACACTAATTAGTGAAAAATATATGAACTTTTACCGGTGGTAATTAATAATAAACCCCTTATCTATTTCTCCCGCCAAGCAACAATGATTACATTGTTGTGTTCCGGTTTGAAGGATAAGGTAGCCAGCGCAATTACAGGCAAGAGGCATATCATCTTAGTCCTCACAGTGACAACGCACCTACGGTTCTGCATTTTTGTTACATAAGACCTAAGTGCAGGAATCGTACTTGTTATGGGCGACAGGTAATGTTTCCATCAGGTATTCTGTGTGTATCACTGAGCACCATAAAAAATATATTTCGACACTGAATTCCTCAATTCTCACACGGACGAAGACGCGGCCTAAAGCTAGACTACAATCATTTACTTCATAGCCTTTACAATTTTTAATAATATACTTATACTTTATCGAGGAGAAACTATATTGAAAATATAAAAGATTTATTTTTAGTTCAAGAAATATTTCTAGACTTGGAGAACTAAGGTCATCTCAATATCACGTCACCGCTCCCCTAACAACTGTTTGCGACAACACTATCAAATGATACAATTCCTTTATTTTTAGAACGAATAAGCAGAATCTTGTAAACATATTTTATATTTGTGAATTTTCAATGTAATGCAATTTTATCTAGATATTTTATATGGCATAATATTATATATAACATAAAGTATCAGATAGACGATGAAAACAATTTTTAATACAAGTCTTATAAAATATAATATAGTTATTAAGAATTAAATGAAAGCATCAATTCTGTGAAAGTCTGTAAAAACTGTTCAAAGCAAATAATTAAGTATTAAAATATTATATGGTAAGTAGTAGTAGTAGTAGTAGTATATTTCAATTAATTTTATTGAAATGTAAAAAAATATATGTTAACTATGTATGTACCATACTATTTCTATTACTTTACATACATCACAATATTATTATTACTAATAAATATGAAACTAAGTATTTTTTGTTTGTTTGTGTATGTCTATTACTTTTTCACTTAGAAAAGGCTGGACAGATTTGGGTGAAATTTAGTATACAGATAGACTATAATCTAGAGTAGCACATATGCTATAGATAATAATAAAATATACCAAAAGGTGTACGGTGTTTGTATCTATACGTGGTATAAAACACAGTCGCTCCCACTGTTTGTACGCTTAGATCTTTTAAATTACGCAAAAGAGAGCAGTGATTCAAGAGAAAGGTTTATATGTATAATATGTACATGCATAATATTATATTCATACTAACCGTTAAAACGTATCTAGGGACGAACCCGAGCGAAGTGAGAGTGAGTCATTAGTAATATTATGAAAACAAGTGCCACAGGGAGACCCAAGCGAAGCGAGGATATGTCGCTAGTTTTGTCATAAAATATAAATAGTACTCAATATTTATATATTTTCAGAAATATTTATTCTCTAAGAGCTTGCAACATACTCAGGTGATATAATTTCGTATTTTTAGAAAGAATGAGTGCCAGACAAAGGGTTTTACACTTTCGAGCGCTATTATTCGTGAGAAAGCAAGCTGGAAGGTATTATCAATTCCCACAAAGAGAGGGATGATGCACCTAACACAATTCTACATTTTTATTACCCACCTTATACATAACTGTCATAGGAACTGTTTTAAGTTATAATATATGACTCAAGCAAAAGATGAATATACTCTATCTACTTAGTACTACTAACTATAATATATTATAGTTTATCTACATATGTGTGTGTTTAGTGGCTAGCATAAATAGTCGCAGATTCGGAGATCCTAGGTTCGAGTCTCGGGTCGGGCCAAGTTTAGTTATTGAATTTTTCGATTAAAGAATAATCAGTAACAGCCTGAAGTTGAGAAGTTAATGGTGTTTCATCCCCGTGCCTGGGAGAGCACGTAAAGCTGGTCCTGCGCATGATCTGCCAGCAATCGCGTCGAAAGTTTGAGAGTGACAGGAATAGAGAGCGCACTTGCGTCTGTACGTACACTTATACACTATAACATTTCTTGCGCATTTGGCTAGTTAGAGTGAGATTGGCTGCCGCAGCCGAAATAGGTCAGTACGACATCATCATCTCCACTTAGTACTATGTCATACACATCAGATAAGCTAACAGCAAAAAACATTAAAAAAAACTAACTAAAAATTTGAATAAATAACAAAAAAAAAAAACAAAAGTAGAAACTTTGTATCCGACCGGGATACGAACCCAGACACCTGTGGTTGTCAAACTTACACCTTGGCCGCTTGACCACGATGCTCGTTTAAATATATTAGATATTCAAACTATTTGAAGACTAACTGCTACTCGCATTATAAATTAATCGTATTTGAGATTAAGAATTTGGTTTCAAATTGAATCAAACATTTCTATTCATGACTTAGAGATAACTTGGTGTTTATTATTAGGTACGTCATTTATCTATATAGACTAGAGTACATGGTATAGGTATGAATATTTGTATAAATCAAATGCGCTACCACCGGAACAGTACATAGTTCTAGTTAAGCTGTACGAGTTCAGTAAATGAAACTTTCAGTTAATCATCTTAAAACCACCCTTCAAAGCAAACATCTAAAGGTTTAAAAGACAAAAATGAATACTAACGGTTCCTGCCCTTGAAAAGGTTGAGAGTGGGTAATATCTGGCGGTAGTATGGAACGAGGGCTTCTCCGACCCTGTCGCATCCCGTCACCAACATCTGTATGCACTTGAGAGCATGGCACAGGACCGCCGGTCGCTTTGTTGCGAGCGCGTCTGTATAAATACAGTTACTGTATAGAATTGAGAAACGAATACATTTTCCGGAATGAAATTTTCGCTGGCGTAATGTGTTTACATTTTGTTTTTTTGTATTATTTATTAATTTGTGTAATCTTTAAAATAGTTTGATAAAGATCTATTTAGTAAAGAAATGATTAAAATTAGTGCATAAGTTTCAGTCGTACCAACATTGATATTTTACCTATAATATTAGTGATATTGTAATAATTACATATCATATGCAGGATCGAACCCACTACATTTACCAATAATAGCAATACTAAATACAATAAAACCAGCCAACTTCATTTAATCTTAAAAAAATCAGCTTCCAATACAATTGAAATCAAATACAACGGCGTCAGTTTACATGTTTAATCTGAAAATTAGAAGGAATTCGATTAACTTTCGATCGCTCCGCGTTATTTCACCTGACTAGAGAGCATCGTGTTACGCAACGCTTGGTATAGATCGTGAATCGTCAAAAATATGAAGAGAATTTAGAAGAATTGAATTTCTTCCATTTCATTTAGTATGATCTCTTTTTTTACTTTATATTAAAATTCGGTATTTTTATTTCATATATTTTCCTAATTGATAAATTAGCTATTGGCTATTGGCATCTCATACAACAAAATAAACTTATTAAGGAAAATTATATTTAAATTAGAAGCTACTTGTTAAACAACATTAATTTAGCTTCTTTGATATAAAAAGACTTTTATATTAAAAAGCGTTCTGTTTAACGGTTAGTATAGATTTGTCAGATATGATATATTTTATCGTAGTAAAAATTATTCTATATGTTGAATATTCTGTATGATGTTGACCCGGATACCCAGCTATCATCATACCAAATTTCATCAAATTCTATCTAGTGGTTTTCTCTTGATGTGTTCCCAAATAGACAGACAGATCAAATTTCCAAAAACTATAGATTCAGCCTCTATCGATAATAATGTTTATTTTAATAAGATTTTCCAAAATTATTATTAAATATTGAATGTACTATAGATTCGACTCACAATATTATTTTATGTATAGATGTATACTATTTTATAATCTAATTTATATTTTTAATAGGTATATAAATTACTTACTTTTGATCGGTATGATGAGTTGAGGCACAACAGGGAGTATTTTGTAGGACCCTTTGGTGACTAGGTCATGTATACCATGTTCTACGATGAAGTTAAAAGGGTAGGTGCCTTCTGCTAGCCCATCAAAAAACATCGGCAAATAATGATGGAAATCTAGTTTTTCTATAGGCACCTGTAATAAAGCACAAATTTATAATTATAAATAAAATTAAAGTGTCTGTTATTCCAAAAAGGCTCCATTCTATACTAATATTATATGAACGCGTTAATCTCAGCAACTATTTATCCGATTTGAAAAATTCATTTTGCAATAGATAGCCTGTTTATTAAGAAAGGCTATAGGCTAAATATCATGACGCTACTACCCAAGGGAGCGGACCAGGAATCACAACATTCAACAAATCAGGCATACATAATTGTAAAACTGATGTTTAAAATCAAACAAATTCAACGCGGATGAAACCGCGGGGCACAGCATATACTTATTTGTTAGATATTTAAATATGAAAAAGCATTATTTTATTTTTCTGCCCTCTTTAGTCTCTGAAAAACTGTAATTATTCTAAAGGAAATTTTACTGATAGATGATTTAAAAAAGAAGAATATAAGATATCATTTATCTCAGAAGAAAAGATCACCTCAGAGGTGAATAAAAGGTAAGAGATTAACGGCTCAATGGCCTCTCTGTAGCCGGAAAAGTATACGGTCGAAATTATTCAAAGTTTTACACGATAATGATAACCGTATATTTCTTACCAGGATCTTGATTTAAGCTTTCGATAAATTATTCCAGAGGTTAAAAATAAATACCGAAATTCTATTATTATATTTAGCTTTTAAGAATAAAATTTAATTAGATTTTAATATCTTACGTCCAACAATTTAATAGAAATTTATTAAATTGGAGAATATTAAAAGTGAAATTTTTAGTTTTAATTTAAAAAACAAAGCAAAGCATCATAATAATATGATTTATTATTATTTTTATTTATATCTATTTATATAACTAATACATATATTTAATAAACGAAATCATATTTAATATCTATTTAATAAAATTTACTGCGCGTTTTTGTTCTTTGAGTCACCTACTTATTTATTTAAGAAGAATTTTGTAATTTATCTATAGTAAAAAAATTATAAAAGGATATTTTCAAAGCCTTAACAACCCTAATGAAATTTTAACATGACAAGATATTTCAGTAGTAGCCTCTCTCTATTAGATAGGTATTGTTTAATAGTCTGTACAATTTACAGTGTATACCGCCGTCAAAATAAATATGTTGTGACATTAACACACAGTATCATCTAGTTCCATGGTAAGCTACGAGGCTTGTGTTATAGAATACTAGGTAGTTGATATACTACACATATATAACTTTAAATACTTACAACAATACATATTGTAAATAGGAGAATAATTTAAAAAATCCATCGTTTTGAATATGGAAAATTTATTGCATATGCCTAAAACTCTTTAAAAATAGAAATATCTTGGAAAATTTAAAAATATCTTATATCGTATATATCACAAATATTATTATACTTTATCAAAAAGCCTAAGCTAAAAACGAGATTCCTATATCCTTTTTATTCAAACACAATAAATCGACGCTTTCCATCACATTAAAACGACTATATGTGAACAGTTGTTACCTTCCAAGCGAGCCGTTTTCCGCTCGTAGTAAACTCAATAGAGACAGGGAATTCCCCCCTTTGATAACATCTCCTGAACATTGTCGGCTTCGCTGGCAAAGGGTCGAAAACGCCACACTTCGGGGGAGGGAGCACCCTGGTGTCCTTCTGCATCGCCTGAATCGTAAAAGCTGGCACGATTCGACATTTCTTCACTTTTCTATACGGATAGTTCGGACTCGGCTTCTTAAGTGAACTGCGAAATTCCTTTCCGCACACATCGGAGCACGGCGGTAATAAAACCATGTTCGAGGATCAAAAAATCATTGTAAATGAGATAATATCTATCTAAAATGTTGACACAAGTAATAAAATAAGAAAGTAAATTTGCTTGGCCAAGCCTCGATTGTGATTGTTTGTTTTGCAACATGATCGTTGCTTGGCAACGCGCTATCGATTGATTGCCGACAGCGCCGCCGCACGGCACCCACTCGCATTAGGCCGTGAACAGATAGACTTGTCTGTTCATATTTTATAATTTATAATATATATATATATATATATATAGAGAGAGAGAGAGAGAGAGAGAGAGAGAGAGAGAGAGAGAGAATTAAAAAAATGTCTCTTTTAATTATTTAATTTAGACGTTAAGCATTATAGAAAAAAAAGCAAAAATGATTATTAAAAAAGTAATAATGTACTAAATAAATTGGAATTTAGCATGGATAAGTACTTTCCCTAATGGAGTAAATGAAAATAACTACAATCCACACCTCGCTCTCCCTTCTATGTTACGGTCCCCTTTACTGAGACGCTGTGGAGGTGACAACACCAAACGTCATGTTCAACACTAATATGAATATTAGACTAAAGCGTGGTTAATTCTCTAGACAGATATTGACATATATTACATAGTAATTTACCCATGCTTCGCTCGAGTGCATCTATAGGTGTATAACAGTAGTAGATAACGACCTACATATACATACATATTATATGCTACTCCAGGGTATCTATACTAATATTATAAAGAGGAAACATTTGTTTGTTTGTATCGAATAGGCTACGAAACTACTGAACCGATTTAGATGAAATTTGGTAAGAAGATATCTTGAGACCCCGGAAAGGAAATAGGATAGTTTTTATCCCGGAAATTATCCCTTAAGGGGGTGAAAATGGGGATGAAAGTTTGTATGGGAAAGCAACCTAGGGACGAACCCGAGCGAAGCGAGGACGAGTCGCTAGTAATATATAATATTTGTACATTTAAATCCATCCAGTGGTTTCACTTTAGAAGTATGTTAGACTGATTCTCAAATTATGATACTTCTACTATATCTTCATCCATTGCATGCTGTCAGAATACCTTAGGGACAACATCCGATAGTTATCTTAGCTAAACGGATGGCCAGACAACTGATTGAAATAAATTTATTTTTATATACATGTCCTTATAGAAGTAATAAAAGGACACTTTTATTGAATCACTATTTTGTACCTATCTTCTGAATGATGAGTGTTAGAGTGTCTAAGCAATATACAATTATTGTGTCATGCGAGTTAAGTAAATTAATAGTGTCACAATCTGTAAAGAAAATACAGGAAAACGATCGATGAAGTAAGAGTATTATGATGTTGTATGATGTAAATGTTTGGTGATATCTATATTAAAAATCCGAAAAGATTTATATAAAACTAGCAGTAAAAATTATCCTATAATTTTACCCGGATAACTAGCTACCATCATACAAAATTTCAATAAAATCTATGCAGAGGTTTTCTCGTGATGCGATTACAGACAGACAGACAAGAATTCTAAAAACTATAAATTTGACCTCTGTATCGATAATAATGATTATTTCAATAAGATTTTCCAAAAAATATTCAATATACAGATTCGACTCATATTTATATATATTAATATATATTTTATTATAGGTATGTATATATATTAAATATTCGCGCAAATCTAAGAAAGTATTAGGGTTTCTATAGTATTTGGTAGTGTGAAACAGATACACAGTGCATCTTTGTCAGAGAGTAAATATATTACAGTGGTTCGTACTAATAACTAAATAATGTGCTACTATAAAACAAATTTACGAGCGATAAAATCATAAAAATGTCACCGCGTGAACTCTCCACCTTACGTTCGGACGCCACGAAATTATATTAGCGATGGGAAATTTTATTACATTTTAATATAAGGTATCTCACAATATCCTCTGTGGAAAAGTGCCTCGAATTTTGATGGCTTCTACACGTAGAACACGAGGATATTTTCTTTGATAAGTTTCAATCGAAAAATTTATGATCTTCCAATAAATGGGCGCGATAGATTTTTTATTACTTATCCAACTTTTCGTGTCATTATATAATTTACTCGAGTTTTCTTGTCTTACGGCTTATTTATAGAGAAATGAAACATTATGAATGTAAAGCGAAATCAATGAAGACAACTTAATATGTAATCTGTAGACTACATATATATTATATGATATATAGCCTATAGCCTTCCTCAACAAACGGGCTATCTAATGCAAAAAGATTTTTTCAAATCGGATTAGTAGTTTCTGAGATTAGTGCGTTCAAACAAACTCTGTCTGTTTATAATATCAGTATAGACGCGAAAGTAACTCTACCTATGTGTCTGTCTGTTATGTTTCCACGCCCAAACCAAATTTTGGTATAGAGAGGGATTGGAGAAGGTCGTAGGATACTTTTTGTCGCATAAATGAAACTTGAAAGGGGTGAAATAGGGGTTGAAAGTTTGTATTGAGAATAAATCATTTCTCAAGTTAAGGACAAAAAAAAAACATTATCTACACATACCTACATATAATAAAACTGTAGAGGTCAAATGTATGTAAATAGAAGAAAAATGCTAAAAACCGAGTCAGGTTTTCTATTTCTCTTCTTACATCCTTTATGAAGAGAAATCGAACAAATCCAGTTTTTTTTCAAATATTTTGTTTTTCTGTCTGTCTGTTTGTACGGGCTAATCTCCGAAACTGTTGAACCGATTTAAGTCAAAGATTGCATGGTGGTACCTAATATCCCCAGTCAATATTTTAGAGAGTTTTCATTCCGAAAAATTAAAGAGTTCCCGTGGGATAGTTAAAAAACTATAGTAAATACAGCTTAGTACACAAAAACTACTGATAGGATTTTAATGAAACTTTACAACAGCATAGTTTATACATCAGAATAACAAATAGGCTACTTTTTATCCCGGAAAATGTACGGTTTCTGTGGGATAGATTTGTTTTTGTTTGTCTAGAGGCGAACCCGAAGGAAGCGAGGGTGAGCCGCTAGTATCTTATAATTTTGGTTAAAAATAAAGAATATTTCGACGTTTATGATCAATCAAAGTAAAATAGATCCCCTATTTTACTTTGATTGATTTAGATTATTTAGATTTCAATTTTTTTTAAAGTACATACTTACTTTTCTAGACCTTTGTATGTATACATGTATATTGTATAGTCTATCTATTCCATACTAACTGTTAAAACTTACCAGGACTTGCTAGTTTTTGCACAAATTAGTGCATGAGTGTAGAATAAAAAACTTATATTTTCTTATCATATCATTTATAATAGTAGGGGAGCCCAAGAGGGGATTTTCTGTAGTTACTCGAGCGCGGCAGATTAATATACAGGGGGATACCTTGTACCCGGTTAAGTACCTCCACAAAACATGAGGCCCATATATAAGGCCGCCCGTGAAGGATACAGGATCAGATTAGTAAAAAAAAATTGACCACCAGAAATTCTCGAGCGCGTCAGATTAAGGTAGGGTGAGTTAATTACATCCTAAAAAGTGTATATTCCACTAATCTGACAATTTGAGAGTGACGTAAAAAAAGGGGAGGGCAACAAAGTTGTAAAAAAAAACGTCATCTCGACATTCTCGAGCGTAGCTAAATTTTTTTTTATTTTGAAGGAAATAATGCAAGAATAATGAAAAATATATAATCTGACGATTTCCGCAAGCCGAAATAACAAAAATTCATCGATAAAGTTAAATGCGTGCAGCTGCGTGATGCCTACATTTCCTTCTCCGCGTTTCTATTCCTCTCTCACTCTTTCTCTATCTATTACTCTCTCACTCCGTCCCCACTCTGGTTTCTGCCGCCATGACACCATCACAGCTGATCATAAAGAGTCTAGGGGTATGCGAACATCGTTCGAATCGAATCGAATATCAATATTCGATTCGAAATTCGAAAAATTTCGAATAATTCGTAAAAATTTCGAATAATTCGAAAGTTTTCGAATAATTCGCGAATTAATGAAATATCTCTGGATCTTCAATTCGAGAGATATCGTGAACGAAAGAAAACCGAAAAAAAGTGATTTTTCGGGATTACTCCGAAATTTTTGGTTCGATCAATTAAAACTTGAAAATAACTTATGAGGATAATAAAACTGCGTCGAATGCCGTCAACCGCGTGAAAATTGCTTGATCTATTCAAAAGTTATTGCGGTTTGAAAATTCCAAAAATAGTGTTCTATGAAACCTCTATCAGACTTTCGAGCTGGGAGAGCTCAAATGCATAGAAATATTATTTCTTTGAACTCTGCGAGCTCAAAATATCACATAAATTATATTTTGAGCTCAAAAATGCCATAAGTACAATTTTAAGCGCACAGGAATGGAATTAGCGGGAAGTTGCAGGTACGGCCTTTAAGGTGAACCGTTTTTACTAATTTTTTTTGTCAGATCAGGCGAATCCCTCTAGATAATCGTCAGATTATGAGACAGTACGTTTAGAACATAAAGATGAACCATATATATCTTAATCTGACGCGCTTGAGTATTTCAAAATGGCGATTTTTTTTTGCATATTATGAAAATGGCCGCGAGTTTGCGTCCCATCGAAATCGTCAGATTAGTGAATGAGAGCTTTTTTTTTGGTGCAATTAACACTCCCTTAGAAAATCTGACGCGCTCGATTAAATTATTTTTTTTTTCATTTTCAACCCTTAAATACAACCACCCGCATCATGCAAACGATCAGATCAACATACGTACATTATTAAAAATACGTAGGGCATTTATGCTATCAATATCTGACGCGCTCGAGGATGTCTATGCAACAGTTTTTTTTTACATATTTAAAAATCAATAGCCACTTCCCCCACCGATGTAAAGGTATATATCATATAACATTTTTTTCTTCTTATCATCTAAGCTTTGCATCCCAATAGGTCTCTACGACGCTCGAGTAAATCCCCATTTAGCTTCGTGGGCTCCCCTACCATAATTACATATTCATAAATTCTTAAACATAATACTTTCCT